CTATTTTTCATTCTCAGCGTCACAAACCGTTGGATTTTTTTATATCCGGCTCTATTTATTTACATTTTAAAAATAAGAGCTGGTACATGCACTATACGCCCGTACCACACAAATCGTTCTATTTTTAAGTAGGTCAACGTCAATTATCCCCAACAACGTTACCTTTATTACTCAGCTACTCAATTCCCTTCACATGAGATCGATAGAGGCTTTTCTCGAAGTTTAAAGTTTAAAAAGTTTAAAAAAGTTAAAAAGTTTTAAAGTTTCACTTTTTTTCACTTTTTGACTGGTTTTGTTCGGGATTGATGTTGCAGCGAAGCACTATGTTAGATGAATGCCTAAATTGTAAATAGACATTTATGAGATTTGTTTAGCGGTGCGCTTATGGCCTATCTAGACACTGCGTCAATCGATGCTCAAAATTAATACCACACGTCCCGCATCTCTTCTCGCGTATGTGTTTATTTATGTTGCTGTATTGAATTCGTTTAAATCACAGAGCTGCTGCACTATAAGTTAATATGTACAGCCCTGTATTCCTGTACTTGTTTAGTACAAACATACATTATCAAAATAATTACGATCTAACAGATATAGTTTTTTCCAAGGATTTCGAACATTTTTACATGCGATCAACACTGGTTCGAAAACTGAGCAAACAACTATGCCGTAAATCTAAGTTCGACAACGAAAGTCTGAAAAATAACTAACATCTATATTGAATTTCAAAAACCCGACCCCTACTGAGCGGGGCCGTAGCAAATGCTTGTTGCGGAAGTTGTTGTATCCAGCATACAACTTCTTCCCGTTCAAGTGATTGTACACGCGTTGAGGAATACCTCGGTACCGATTGCCGGGTGGCAGTACAAGTCCGCCAACGGGCTACTTTTAATATCATTAACACGCAAAAAGGAGGTGGTACACAAGGACCAGTCGACCGAGGCGGTACCACCTTATAGCTTTTCCCAGGGTGTTTTATAAATGTCCGCATGTTTCCACACCTAAGTTATGCAGTCGGTTATCTTCCAAAACAAAGAAATTAATGATGATGGATCCCTCGAGTACTAAGTATTCCGGATGTAAGCTGACTCCACTCTCAGAATGTCGGGGTAGAGGGTGGACTCGAGGGAACAACATCGGCGTGATTAACAGCAACATTGATGCTGTTCAACACTAATTGCAATCCAATCGTCTCGTCATGCTGTTCTTGGCGGAGGCAAAAATCTGAATCCGCACCGACTAACCATCTTAGCTCACCAAATTACGAGGTGCACTCCAGTCTGGCAAAGAACGGGGGAGTTGTGGCCTATGTCCGCTGCAGTCTTTCCTGCTGCAGAGACGTTTCTCTGGAATCAGACGGGAAGGACATTCTGTGGCTTCGCCTCAACTCCAAAACATCCCCCAAATTTATTTGCTGCCTTTATCGCTCCTCTCGGACCATAACTGGGGTGACCTTCTCGAATACCTCGCCGTCAAGATCGACTTCCTGAACATCAATCACTCCGCTTCAGAGGTAGTTCTCCTCGGTGATTTCAATGACCATAATTTGCTTTGGTTGTGCTCAAACAAGACCGATGCAGCAGGTCGTGCAGTTAAAGCGTTCGCTGGCCCAGCTGGTGACGGGCCCTACTTTTTTTTTGCCCCGCGTCTCGCCACATGCCAGTATCCTGCTGGACCCCTTTCTGACCACGCATCCTGTCCCTTACAGCTCTGCTGTCCTGTCTCCCCTGGGTAACTCAGACCACTGTGTTGTGGAGGTTAGGTTTCGGTCAGAACCCGCTGTTTCAGCAGAAACTCGCACAGGCCGCAAAATTTGGCATTACGGACATGCCGACTCGGAGGGGCTCAGAGACTTCTTCTCTACCTTTCATTGGAGAAATGTCTGTTTCACTCATGCATGTACCACATATTGTTTCTTATTACTAACGGAACATCATCAAGCAGCAAAGGCAACTGTTGTTGAAGAAAATTGAGGTAAGTCTGTCCGTCAAGTCGTCCCAGCAAGAAGAATGGGCCAATAAAGTGGTTGCCAATTCCTGCCCACACATTAACCGAAAATTGGTGTTGGAAATGGGTTTCGGTTACGGCATAGGAATTTTCTTCTACCTACTAACGATTATTGTGGAAATTTTGAATGGCATTTCGAGAAAAATTAGCTTCGCCCGTGAACAGAATCACTGATTCAAATTGCGGATTCTGTGTAATTTTTTGAAGATACCACTGACAAAAGGTCACAGTCCTTGAAAAATCAATGGGAAGTAATGCCTGTACTCGTAAAATATGGTAAGGATATAACAAAAAATCCACTAAAATTCTCCTATTTGATGGCAAATATTTAAGTGTCTAGCGATCTTCCTCGAAGTCGTTTCAGGAGGTTTTTCGACTTCGTGCAGCACTTCTTCCTCAATTTCAGGTGTTCTCACACCTAGAGGTCTACCTTCAGATGTTCCTTTTCGGACAGAACCAGTTTCAACAAGACGACGATGGATATTAGAAAAGGTTCGACTATCTGGCATACTCGACCGAGATATCTCTGGTGGTAAATCCGTCTGGCTTGATCAGCATTACTGTCGGCAAGGCCATATACATACGTAATGCATTTCCGCCATTTCTGCATTTGAATAATTCACCATTATTAACAAGATTGTAAAAACTAAATAATGAAAAAGATGTAACAGCGAACAGATTTGAATAACAGAGACTCGTCAGATGTCAAAAGCCAGTGACATATTCCAGAGCAACTAGATATTTATTGCTAAATTGCATTCTTCAATTATTACATTAATTTTCTCGGACAATAGAACGGTTTTTATTTTTTTTACTCAAAAATGGCGCATCGAAGGAAAACAATTCAAGAAAGATCATTTGTTTTAAATTGAACGGGGAATTCAAAAATAATTTTTAACTGGCAAAAAACCATTGGCGTACCATTTTTTTCTTAAAAAATATCGAAGTCAATACCAGTACGCACGCCACTGTTAAAGCTAAAAATTATTTTTGCATTGAAAAATATGCAACTTTATTAACTTTCACTACGTACTAAATATCAGTTAAATATCTGAAGCGGTTCTGAAAATGTTAATTAACTTTTGAGAACCGCGCCAGTGACTCTCTTTCAGCACTACTAGCGCCATCTGTTGGGAACGCGCCAGAAACTCTCCTTCGAGATCGACCTCGAAGATTCTGGACTGCCGTTATGTGGCTCACCGGAACTTTCTCGAACTAATGAGTACATGCGATGCGGAATATAACGGGTGATTTTTAAGAGGTATAGGATTTGATTTTCAAAAAAAAACACAAAAAATTTGAAAAAACGATTAAATCTTTATTTGAGTCGATAGAACGGTCGATATAATTTAATGTTTAAAGATTATTTCATGTAAATGTTGTCCGCGGCTCCGCTTTAGATGGCCCATGCGTAAGGTCCAATTTTGGCACACTCTCTCCAACATATCGGCCGGTATCTCACGAATAAATGCTTCAATATTGGCTACCAGTGCGTCAATCGTTGCTGGTTTATCCCTGTAGACATTAGCCTTAACATGGCCCCACAAGAAATAGTCCAACGGTGTTAAATCACACGATCTAGGCGGCCAATTGACGGGCCCCAAACGTGAGATAAACTGTTCACCGAACTCGCCTCTCAATAGGGCCATTATTTCGTGTGCGGTGTGACATGTGGCACCGTCTTGTTGAAACCACATGTCAGCTCTTCCATTTTGGGCAAAAAAAAGTTTGTTATCATCGCACGGTAGCGCTCGCCATTCCCAGTTACGTTCCGGCCATTGTCGTCTTTGAAGAAGTACGGCCCGATGATGCCACCGGCCCATAATCCACACCAAACAGTGATTTTTTCGGGATGCATTGGTAGTTCTTGCAATGCTTCTGGCTGGTCTTCACTCCAGATGCGGCAATTTTGCTTGTTATCGTACCCATTCAACCAGAAATGAGCTTCGTCGCTGAACACAATTTTTCGATAAAAATGTGGATCTTCCTCCAACTTTGCCAGCGCCCATTCACCAAATTGGAAACGTTGTGGGAGGTCGTGTGGCTTCAATTCTTGCACCAGCTGTATCTTATAAGTTTTACACCCAAATCCTGTCGCAAAATTTTCCACGGAGTGGAGTAACAGAGGCCCAAATGCTGCGAACGGCGGCGAATCGACATTTCACGGTCATCACTAACACTGGCGGATACAGCCGCAATATTTTCTTCAGTACTCACTCTATGTCTGCGTATTGGTGGTTTAATGTCCAATAATGTAAACTGGGTTCGAAACTTAGTCACAAGCTTCCGAATAGCTCCCTCAGTAGGCCGACCAAATTGCCCATAAATTGGAAGCAGTGCTCGATGCACTCTCTTAACCGAGCATGAATTTTGATAGTAAAATTCAATAATTTGCAAGCGTTGTTCGTTCGTAAGTCGATCCATGGTTAAATTATAGACCAAACTGAACAAGTTTGACAATGACACAAGACACGATTCACGCGTGCTCTGTCAAAAACAGTGTTGCCAAAAAGATACTAGCAAAAAAATCACCCATTATTTCTAAATCACGAATCACAACTGCAACCAAATACTGTGAAGAAACGAGACGACTTCAGGAACTATGCGCTTCATGGCAACTGTTACTCGACATCAGAGAAACTTCTGTTCCGGACTTGACTCCTGCCGTTGTTCCAGTTTTTTCGCGTCTCTTCCAGATATCACGAATCCGGCACATTCCCAGAAAACCGGAAATTTGCTCGTGTCCAGCCTACTTCCAAAAAGTATCTAAGACTGGCCCTTGAGCCTTAAGACCAGATTGATCTACTGAAAGTGCCTTTTTGGAGTGTTCCGGCCACAAAACAGGGCTTAGTATCTTTGACTTTGCGACCTTGGATGTTTTATTAGAATGATTCCTGAATTATTGTGGAAAGAATTAAAAACAAATCTTGTATCTCATAGGTGTAATAATGATATTAGTGCATACTGATTTTGAATCAAACTATTTTTCTTACCTAATTGTTTCCACAATTTCGATGGCCCCGTCATGCTTGTCCTAAACAAGAGAAGAAAAAAATTCAATATCCAACAAAAATCCACTGGAAATTAGTATCTATACCTATATCGACGTGTTAAGAAACAGTTGAACCCAAGGTAAGACCCAATGGCACCAAACCAAAAACCACGGTTAGTAACTTATTCGAAAAATAACCAATCATAGCACAAACGCAAAAAACCACTAGCATCAAAAATTAACACAACCTTAACATGCTAACACAAACTAAAAAAAATACAGATGTCTTTAAAAAATGTGGCTAATCAAAAAATATTACGTTTTCATTAAAGAATTGAACTGACGCCATATGTTGAAAAAAGTCTGGAATACTTAAATGTTGATATTTTTTGTCAAATTGTGTAGTTAAGAAATTATGTTGGGTGAAGGGTCATTCACAATTCAAGGGTGATATTACAGTTGATCGACAAGCAAACCAGAGTTCTGGGAACGAGCCCATGTTAAATAGCATGCCCACAAAGTCTCCAAAAACATGTGGGACGATACGAGGTCTGTGAACTGAGTAATGAGACTGGCCGCAGATCCCCAAGTTTTTGCTCTTGCTAAACAGGACTACGGAGACAGTGTTTTGTCAAGAGCCCAGGCTTCTCGGTAGTTGAAGACATTTTTAGAAGGGAGAGAGTCAATCGAAGATGAAGCACGATGCGTAAGGCCTTCATATTCAAGAACCGTTGAAAATATCGACAGAATCCGGGACCTTGTACGTTCAGATCGTCAGTCAACAGTCAGAAAGATTTTGGAAGTGTTCAATTTGACTCACACCACCGTTCATCAGATCAAGAACAACTGGGTGTTGCCTCTTTGTCACACAGAAATGTCTATAAATGAATTTTTGGTCAGAAAAACATTCTTGTGGCTCCTCAGCCTCCTTATTCGCCTGCCTTGAGTCCTTGTGACTCTTTTCTCTTCCCAAAGTTGAAAAATCACCTCAACGGAACTCATTTTGGGACAGTCAGGACCAGTTGAAGGCTATTCCAGTATCCGAGTTCCAGCACTGCTATAAGGAGTGGAAGAACCATCTCCAGAGCTGTGTGGCTTCAGAAGGCCGTTATTTTGGGTATGGCAATATAAAATTGTCATTATATTTGAATAAAAAAATTAAAAAAATCAAGTCTCATCACGTAATTTACGTACCCGGACTTCTTTCACGCCCGGCTATCGGGTATTTTATCAAATATCCGGGTAGAGCGGGTATCTTCATTTATAAGTAATCAATCAAATACAAAGGGTACTATAAAAGTTTTGCAATACACAGATTTATTTATTGGCTTCGTTCAAAGTAGTTTCCACCACATTCCATATACACTTCTCCATCCGCCAAAACCAGTCCTTAAACCAACTCTGCCAAGTTCCACCCGGGAGTGCAGCATACTCGTTGTCCCAAGCCCTCAGAAGGTCCTCATCGCTAGAAAACCTTAATTACCTTAATTTTCACATGCGGAAGGGAGCAAGAGCTGAAGTGTAAGGAGGGTGCTCAATAAGTTTCAGTCCAGTAGTGGTCAAAAACTATCTATCATTTTGTACTTAACATATCGGGATTTTCTGACAGCTACAGGTGTATCCTCATCATCAAACTTTGTTTTGAGCCTTGGTCGGCACATCGTAATAATAGAGCCAAGTCTCGTCACATGTCCAAATGCTGTTCACATACCGAAATTGCCCCCTAACAAACATTTTCAGCATCTTCCGGTACAAGTCGTACGACGAGTCTTCTGCTCTTCCGTCAGACTATGCGGTACCCAGAGAGAACAAAGTTTCCTTACGTTTAAATGGTCTTGCAGAACAGAATGAATTGCAGGTGCATGAAGGTGTAAGGTGTCCTCTATCTGTTGGTATGTCACTCTCCGGTCTTCAAGCATTTTCCTCGCAGCAGTAACGCTTTCCTTTGTTACTGACGTTCGCTGCCTCCCTTCCCCCAGCGTCCTCCAGAGTTAAATAATTGTCCCTTTGGAGTTCTCTGTACTACCTGAATATAGTCGTACGATGAGGACAATCATTCTTTAATGCAAGCGTCATTTCTTCTAAGCAGTGGTCTATACTTTAACCACGCGTAAAGTTATACCGTAAAACTGCCCTTATCTCACTACGTGACCACGATGCCATAGTCCTCACTTTACGCTGTCAATACGAATGAACAAATAAATCAACAGACGTGCTGATGGCGGCTACTAAGCACTCATGGACATGTCTCAACATGCAGCCTTCTGCGTCAGTTTGTTAAGTCATATTGCAAAACCTTTATAGTATATGTATCAATAAAAATATCAACAAAAACAGACTTTCTTTTCACAAAATAATACTGGAAAGACTATGTATCTGCCATTTTTTTTCTCTAGTAAGCATAGCTAAGCAACTTTTAATTCTAAGAACATTGAAAAAAATCATGAATGCAAAATCCTGGCAGTGACAAAAATAAAATGCTTTCTAATAAAACAATATGAATTCACATGGAACTTATACTAGGTGTCCCAATATTCTGTGGACATAAAAGTCCCACGTATTTTTAGACTCAAAATAAGTCGGTTGGACATGATTTACCTGTATGCAAAAGTGCATTGCAATGCAAAAATGTAACACTTGATGTAATAAGAATTTTTTTTAAAAAGCAGCTCCGAAAAACTTTTTTTCTCGGAAAATATGCGAGATTGTTTTTATAAAAAAAATTATAGACGTTGAGAGATGAAATTTTCTGCTATAATTCATGCAGGGGAGGAGGTAGTTTTCACTGTTCTCGAGCCATTTCGCGTTTTTTGTGAAAGTGAAAAATTAAGACATCTAGAAAAACACATGTATTCCAAATTTCATTCAAATCCAACTGCCGGTTCCAAAAATATCTGAAAAAAATCTGTTTGAAAAAACTGACCCCCTCTAACGGACAAACTAAGCACTTTTAAATGGAGGTTAATCATGTCCAGCTTTACGTTGAGTCTAAAAATCTCCACAAAATATTGTGACACCCTGTGTATTATTATATTACCTAGGAAACAGAGTAATCAAAGTTATTATTAATTAAAATAGACTTGTTGATGAAATGAGTTTTCAAAAATCATAAAGCATTAAGAGTACGATCACGAAACTGTCCACAACAAAAAAAAGCCCGTTCGCTATCTGTGGAAGTAGGTTTTACGGATAACAGTTCTTGATTTTATAGTTATTGATATCATAGTTTTTCATCAAGTATTTCCCCGGGTCCAAATACAGTAAAATAAGACAGCTAAGCACTTGCTTTGCGACTGCCCAGCTGTACTATCATGATACTAACGCCGAGGAAGGACGTACTAGGGGCCCAACTAGGCCTAAATGCAGTGATCTTGGCTGACCGTATTTTCCTCCAATTAAAAATATTCATATTATTCAGTGAGAGGTGGAATAGCAGTGTATGATGATAAAAATACACACAGCTCATAATAGTAACATTATGCAATGAAATGACCTTGAAACTAAATTTATTATGATAGAACTAATAACTTGGATCAAAATTGTATGCATGCACGACTTTAGAACTGTGTCACAAAAACTAGGCGAGATTCAATAATCTACTTAAAATATAGGTCATGTTTGCGGAAATTGTGAACTTGGTTAAATAAAATACCGTAATAAAGATATTAGTTTATTATTAACAATTATTACATAAGCACATGGTATAACAAGAAGCTCCACAGAGAATAAATAATATAGCTCTTGCATAGGTAAAAGTAAAAAGTCGCAAGTAGTAGATTTTACCGCTGATAGATTGGCAAAAGGTTCTGCTAAAATATTATTATGCCTCCTTCACCGCTTATAACCAAATTTCAACCTCTACGAAAATTTTCCTGAAAGTTATCAGAAGCCTAGACGTCGTAAAAAACAAAGGTTGAATAATTTTCATTTTTTCGTTAGGGGCCGTTCAAGTATTACGTGAGCACTATGGGGGGGGGCGGGGGAGTCTAGATGATGATTACGTCATCGGTAGTTATTTACTTCTTTTACACGAATGGCAACCCTCACATTGTCTTTGCTTGAAAACGAAACGCATTTTCCGGGATTCCCCCAAAAAATGCATCCGTTTGGTGAACAGCGTGCGGTAATTCCCCTACTCGCTTTAGAACCGAGTAGGCGAATTATCGCGCGGTGTTCACTTGTCTAAATTTCCTCTATCAGTGTAGTGTTTCATTTGGATACTATAGCGAGTAGACGTATTGTAAGCATAGTAAAGCAAGTTAACATTTGTGTTACCATTGATTCTATTAGCCAAAGTTTAATGTTTAAATAAGATGTCGCTTCACATAGACAAATAAAAGTAATACCAAAAATTGTTAGAAAGTTTTAAAAAATCTCATACAAGTACGAAAGTACAAAATGTACAAAAGTTAGTTAACGAAGTGTAGCGAAATTACAAATTACAAGCAAAATCCGACAAGGAACTAGATATTATTGTATCTAAGAGAATCGAAGAATAGCAAACGGCGAATAAGAATAAGTCACATCTACTAAAGCATGCCGTTGGACATTCAACATACATCGCTATTCGAAGTGGAAAGCATAGTTCATCTACTGCTAATACTCATCCTCAGGATTTCGAGACGCTTCTCGAACTTGAAGAGTTTTGACCATTAGCTAAAACTGACCATGGACTAGTAAAACCAGTGGTAATCATGACGGTTGATGGAGGGCCAGATGTAAATCCACGTTATCAAAAAGTCATAGGGTTTGCTATACAACACTTTAAGCGACATGATCTCGATGCATTGTTTTTAGCTACCAATGCTCCTGGAAGTACGTATAACAGAGTAGAGCGCAGAATGGCTCCTCTTAGTCGAGAACTGGCTGGTTTAATATTGTCTCATGACCATTTTGGGTCTCATTTGGATGAAAGTGGCGTTACAATTGATGAACATTTATAAAGATCTAATTTCGAATTTGCAGGAAATGTATTAGCTGAAGTATGGAGTTCAATGGAAACTGATGGCTATAACGTTAATGCAAAATATGTTGGGGCAGGT